TTACAGGCATGCACCACCATGCCCAGCTAATTTTTGTATTTTTAGTGGAGACGAGGTTTTGCCATGTTTGCCAGGCTGGTTTGGAACCCCTGACCTCACGTCATTCCCCTGCCTTGGCCTCCCAAAGTGCTGGAATTACAAGCATGAGCCACCACACTCGGCCCCAAGACTATTATTTTTAATTATTTTTAAAGTGCCACACAATGGTTTTGTTTTTGAGTGTGTTTTGTTTTGTTTTGTTTTGTTTTTTTGAGGTGGGGGGTCTCACTATGTTCTCCAGGCTGATCTCGAACTCCAGGCCTCAAGCAGTTCTCCCACCTCAGCCTCTTGAGTAGCTGGGATTACAGGTGCAAGCCACCACATCTGGCTTGCATGATGGTGTTGATGTGCAGGCCATATTTCAAACCACTGCTCATCAGGTAGTCTCCCGATGAGGGATACGTGGGAGGCGAATGTTCTGAAACCTGGGTCATTTGAAAATATCTTTATTCTCACTCCCACACTGATTCATAGTTAGGCTGGATATAGGATTCTGGGTTGTAAATTATGTTTCTTCAGTATTTTGAATGCAATCCTCACTGTGTTCCAGTTTCCAATATTGCTGTTGAGAGGTTCAAAGCCATTCCAGTTACCGATTTTGTATGCGTGTGTTTGTCTTGGTTTTCCTCGCTGGAAGCACGTAGAGACCATCTTTGTTTCCAGAGTTCTAAAATTTCATGATGACGTGTTTTGATATAAGTGTATTTTCATCATATTGCAGGTAACTGGTGCTGCTCTGAATCTGAAAATTGAAGTCCTTCACTTCCGGAATATGTTTTTGGTTTGTTGTTGAGACAAGGTCTCGCTCTTTTGCTCAGGCTGGAGTCCAGTGGCGCAGTCATAGCTCACTGAAGCCTCAACCTCCCGGGCTCACAGGACCCTTCCACCTCAGCCATCTGAAGAGCTGGGACTACAGGTGCACACCAGCACACCTGGCTAATTTTTCAGTTTTTTTGTGGAGATTGAGATCTTGCCATGTTGCTCAGGCTGGTCTCAAACTCCTGAGCTCAAGTGATCCTCCTGCCTCAACTTCCCAAAATACTGAGATTACAGACATGAGCCACCATGCCCAGCCTGATTTTTTTTCATTGATGATCTCCTCCCTCTGTTCTTTCTGAAATTTGTACTATTTCAATGTTACATTTGCAAGACTGGTCCTCTATTTTTCTTTTCTCTTTCCAATTTTTCATCTCTCTGTTTGCTCTTTTAGGGAAATTTCTTTAACTTGACCCTCTGACATTTCCATTAAATTTATTTTCATTTCTACTGTTATGTTTTTAATTTCCAAGAGTTCTTTTTTGTTCTTTGAATGCTCACCCTTCCTCTCCCATCCCCCCTCATTTTTTTTCTTTTTCATGGATTCCTGGTCTTGTTTCTTGGGTGCAGTAATTTATTTTATCAACCTGGAAATCTTAGTGCAAATGTTTCAGTGGTTCTCTTCTCCTTACGCAGGCTTAGTTTTTGTCCAAGTTGGTATTTTTTCGTTTGCCCACTTTGATCTCTTTTTTTTTTTTTTTTTTTTTTGGAGATAGGGTCTTGCTCTGCACCCAGGCTGAAGTGTACTGGCATAATCATGGCTCACTGCAGCCTCGAAATTCTGGGCTCAATCAATCCTCCTACCTCAGCCTCCTGAAGAGCTGGGACTACAGGCATGTGCCACCACACCTGGCTAATTTTTTGTAGGGATGAGGTCTCACTATGTTGCGCAGGCTGGACTCAAACTCCTGGGCTCAAAGGATCCTCCCACCTCAGCCTCCCACAGTGCTGGGATTACAGGCGTGCGCCACTGTACCTGGCCCTCTTTTGGAATAAAATGTTTCTCGGGTAAATCTTGGATGTCTGCTCACTTGAGAAAGACTGAGAAACTGACTGGAAGCTGGGGTGTATGGATACCCTTTTCTGTCCCGTTTTGTCATAGGATCTACTGGTTGGTTATTTTTATGGGAGGACCCCTGGTGTCAGCAGCTTTGGGTCTTTTCCTCTTGGGCTGGCTCATTTTCCTGAGAAACTTTTCCAGTCTGCTGCTGAGAGGGTAAAGCAGGCTAGGGGCTCAGCACTCAAAATATGGTCATTTAGCTGGGCACGGTGGCTCATGCCTGTAATCCCAGCACATTGGGAGGCCGAGGCAGGTGGATCACGAGGTCAGGAGTTCGAGACCAGCCTGGCCAACGTAGTGAAACCCCGTCTCTACTGAAAATACAAAAAAATTAGCCGGGTGTGGTGGCGGGTGCCTGTAATCCCAGCTACTTGGGAGGCTGAGGCAAAGAGAATCGCTTGAACCTGGGAGGTGGAGGTTGCAGCAAGCTGAGATCGCGCCACTGCACTCCAGCCCAAGCGACAGTGCAAGACTCCGTCTCAAAAACAAGAGAAAAAAAAAAAAAAGTCACTCGAATCCCCCACCCTTGCCTTTCCCAGCACTATCCCTGTGTGACAGTGCTTGACGGCCCCAGGACAAAGACCAGCTCCGGAGAATAAAATCCCGGCACTGACAGTCACTTTACCACCAAGGCCTCTGAACGCCGCTTTCTAAGAGCTCACAGATGTGGCCACTTCTCCCACGTCCACCATCACTCAGTCGAAACTGCCATTATCTCCCCCTAGACCCTGGACACAGCTGCCAACATCTTGTCCTCCCATCCTCTCTGCACCCAGGAACCAGGGTGGCTCTTTCACGCCACTTCCCTGCTGAAACCCCTCCATGACTTCCCATGCCCTCAGGATATAGGCCAGCTCCTCTGCTGAGGTCTGGCTTCTCCTTTCATCCCAGCCTCCTTCTGCAGCCCCTTCCTCACCCCTACGCACCCCTGTCACATGCAGTGCCTCATCCAACTTTCCGGCTTTAAGACATAGCCCCATTAGCTCCTTCTCCTAAAAGTCTCTGCAGATCCTGGCACCTCTCACCCATTCTAAGAGTGCTCTCCCTGGGGACCCTGAAGGGAAAGTCTGTACCTCCACATCCACACCCTGAGCTTGAGCGCAGCACCCAGCACCCAAGAGGTGCTGAGCTGTACTGTGCCACGGAGATCATTGCCACTTGCCACTTTGATGAGCTCTGTTCTGGGAGCTGGCTGCCTGGGGAAGGGCTCTCTGACCACTGCCACGGACCCCATGGAGTCAGCCACTGGGTCAGTGAACTGCAGCTCCATCAGCATGAGCGTCCCCCGGCTCCTGGGATCACCACAGTGCATGCTGGTGAAGGGCCAGGATGGAGGGGCTACCTCTCAAGTGTGCAGGATACTGAGTGTGACCTCCAACCACCTTGCATGACCTTGATGTGGTGGCCATCCCAGAGAAGACACTGCTCCACCCAGCTGCTTACCTTTCCTTAGGACAACTGTTTGAGAGTCCATTTCTAGAATGATCCTAATGGGCATGGCCAGGGAGCTGGTCCTTCACATAAGTAGCAACTGGGCAGGCTGCCAGGGCAGTTGGAATGGGGCAGTGGAGCTGTGTTCACAGAACACTTGTCAGGAGCCAGGCACCTGGTATTCCTCTACCCACTTAAAGGAGGGCATTACCATCGCCATTGTATAGATGGGGAAAGAGAAGCTCCCTAAGCGCCTCACTCGGGGTCACACAGTCAGAAAGCGTGAGGGATTCAAACCCAGGACTCTCCAGCCCCAGCTGCACCTTGGTAGCAGGAGAAACAGCGAGAGCTTTCCAGCTCTGCGGCTAACCTCACCGAAGGGAATCCATGCAGACAGCTGCAGTGCACATGGTGTTTTCCCCACACTCTGGGTGTTAGTTTTGTTGGCTAAAACAGTCATCACCCTGGAGCTGCTTTTCACAGTTCTAGATTTTGGTGGGTTTCTCAGCCTCTCTGTGCTGGCTCGGGGAGGCTTCAGGAAGGGGGTGGAGCAGGTGCCCTCTTTGCAGGTAGGGATTGTGAAACGTTTGGTCTGGAGCCCAGGGATGAATAATGCAGAGGGCTCTCTTCACAGGATAATGGATTCCAGAATCCCAGCACTGCTCCGGCAGGAGGTGGGGACTGGTGGCTCTGCACTGGCACCCCCTGTTGACCTGGGTGTGGCTCAGCAGCCTTCTCCTCTTGCTTGTTTTCCAGTAACTGGTGCCCCTACCCGATGTCCAAGCTGGTCACTTTACTAGCTCTTTGCAAAACAGAGAAATTCCTCGTCCACTCGCAGCAGCCATGTCCGCAGGGAGCTCCAGAGTGCCAGAGAGTCAAAGTCATGTGAGTAGGGGAGGGTGGGCCATTCGCCCAGGCCTGGAGCGAGCCCTCCCTGGAGTCACTGAGTCAGCCCTCCTCCTCCTCCAGGTACCGCATGGCCCACAAGCCAGTGTACCAGGTCAAGCAGAAGGTGCTGACCTCCTTGGCCTGGAGGTGCTGCCCTGGTTACACGGGCCCCAACTGCGAGCACCACGGTAGGGCTCCCTGCTGCACCCCTCCCCACTTGACCTCTGATCCCCAAAGTCAAGCAGCTCCTCTGACCACTGGGGTCAATATCTAATGCCTTCTTCTGCAGATTCCATGGCAATCCCTGAGCCTGCAGATCCTAGTGACAGCCACCAGGAACCTGGGGATGGACCAGTCAGCTTTGAACCTGGTGTGTTGCTTTCCGGAAGGGGCAGGCAGACAGGCAGGCAGGCTGCTGGGGCCCACGTAGCCAGCTGGCCCTTTCTCCTGTGATACAGCAGTGCCATTTCAGGGAAACCTTGCCTCCAGAATCAGCAAGGACTCCTCTGTGGCCTGCACCACCTCCCACCTTGAAGGCCAGGCTCACCGGGCTCCCAGCTGCCTGCTGGCCAAGCACACACACCCTTTTCCTTCACCCCATCTTCTGGGAAGTACTGGTTCATCTGACACTTTCCTTGTCCCCTGAACCACACAAACCCTTGTGCCTGGAAAAAGCATTCTCACCCTTCCCCACAGCCCTAACCAGAGCCAGGAAGTCATACTGTCCTTGGTCTTGGAGTCAGCACAGGAAACCAACCAAAAGACATCATTTGCAGCAGGGCCCTTCAAGGCTGGGCCCAAGATTGAGAAAGCAAATGAGTGTCATTATGTGGTGAAGTATTTATTGACAAGGGCTGCCAAGAATGAAGTTGTGAGGCCATGTGCATGTGCTGAGGAGGGGAGTGGACCATGATTGATTAGTCATGTCTGCTGTGGGTGTAGGAGGCAGGATGAGGGTTCACTTGCTATGCATTTGCCCTCCAGGGGCTTAAGGCTTCTAAGCTCCTGCTCAGAGGACATCAGCAGCTACCTTTCCTGCTCTCAGCCCTCAACGATCCTTCTCTGAACGTCGTGATTGTCCCAGACCTGGTGAGTTAGCCCTTGACATTTATGTCTGCTGTGCATTTAGGCCACCTGGCTGCAGCGATCAGTGAGGTTGAGGTGCAACAGGAACAGCAGGAACACCTTCTGGGAGATCTCCAGAATGATGTTCACCAGGTGGCAGACAGCCTGCCAGGCCTGTGGAAGGCCCTGCCTGGTAACCTCACAGCTGCAATGATGGAAGCAAATCAAACAGAGCACGGTGAGTGGCAGGCTCTAGGGGCTGAGGAAGAGCCTGGTCACATTGAGGGGAGGAGGGGAGGACCCCGCTGGTCCCAGTCTGGGAGGAATGTCTGCTCCTGCAGGGCTTGTGTCACACCACACGTCTGTTGCAGAGTTCCCTGACAGATCCTTGGAGCAGGTGCTGCTACCCCACGTGGACACCTTCCTACAAGTGCATTTCAGCCCCATCTGGAGGAGCTTTAACCAAAGCCTGCACAGCCTTTCCCAGGCCATAAGAAACCTGTCTCTTAATGTGGAGGCCAACCGCCAGGCCATCTCGAGAGTCCAGGACAGTGCCGTGGCCAAGGCTGACTTCCAGGAGCTTGGTGCCAAATTTGAGGCCAAGGTCCAGGAGAATGCTCAGAGAGTGGGTCAGCTGCAGCAGGACGTGGAGGATCGCCTGCACGCCCAGCACTTTACCCTGCACCGTTCGATCTCAGAGCTCCAGGCCGATGTGGACACCAAATTGAAGAGGCTGCACAAGGCTCAGGAGGCCCCAGGCACCAATGGCAGCCTGGTGCTGGCAACGCCCCAGGCTGGGGCAAGGCCTGAGCCAGAGAGCCTGCAGGCCAGGCTGGGCCAGCTGCAGAGGAACCTCTCAGAGCTGCACATGACCACGGCCCGCAGGGAGGAGGAGTTTCAGTACACCCTGGAGGACATGAGGGCCACCCTGACCCGGCACGCGGATGAGATCAAGGAACTGTACTCCGAATCCGACGAGACCTTCGATCAGATTAGCAAGGTGGAGCGGCAGGTGGAGGAGCTGCAGGTGAACCACACGGCGCTCCGTGAGCTGCGCGTGATCCTGATGGAGAAGTCTCTGATCATGGAGGAAAACAAGGAGGAGGTGGAGCGGCAGCTCCTGGAGCTCAATCTCACGCTGCAGCACCTGCAGGGTGGCCATGCCGACCTCATCAAGTACGTGAAGGACTGCAACTGCCAGAAGCTCTACTTAGACCTGGACGTCATCCGGGAGGGCCAGAGGGACGCCACGCGTGCCCTGGAGGAGACCCAGGTGAGCCTGGACGAGCGGCGGCAGCTGGACGGCTCCTCCCTGCAGGCCCTGCAGAG